GGTAGTTAAAAACTTTACTCTCTAATTTCAATGCCTTCTTATATTTACCCGTGATATCCTAATTGCAAAAATAATAAAAAGTTTAATACCTATGGATAATTGAAGTCATGAGAGCAAGAGTGGGCTAGCCAATATTTTGTTGATAATTGAGTTATAGATGGCAATCACTTCTAATGACCTAAAGTTTTAAAGCAAAACCAGTCTAACTAACATTTTCGTATATTATAACATAAATCTCTCCAGTAAGGTGATTTTGCAATATAGAAAATAAAAAAAATTTAAAAACACGAATGGGCTAACCCACGAAGTTGTGGAATAGACCAAAATTGTTTAATACATAAATACGTAAAAGAATGCAAGAGTGGGTTAAACATCCTCTTTGTAGGATAGAACGGTTTTAACTATTAATCAAGGGTACGTATCTGAAATTAAGATATGTAAGCATTTTTTTCTAAAAACCTTACAGATTTCTAACGGTAGAGTAGATAGACTTAAAAAAATCACAAATTGGAGTTACACTCCGGGATAAAAGAGGACAAAGTACATCAGCAAATAAAACAGGTAACATAAAAGTGAACATAGACGTTATTTTGCAACAGATTTGAGTTTAGGAATTCTTTATAACCTTTACAAAGGAGAACATACTAGTACTTAATCCTGTCTCATTCCACATATTTCGAAAAATATTTATAATATCCTATTTAATATTGGATACCATGCCCAATTACGGATTCGTTCAAAAAATATGGTTTGTATAACAATAAAATAAAGTTCTCAACAGTTCAAGCAGAAAAACGCGAATTTGAAGTAACACTAGAGGGTCACCAACGAAAAGCAGACCGTGCTAGATATGCTATGAAACAAGATGCAGACTATGTAAAACAAAATCCTGAAGAAATTACAGTGATTGCATTTGACTTGATGCGAACGTTGCCCACACCAGTTATCAGCACTAGAATTTCAGCGGACATTCTTACCTTGCCTGTGGCCAAAGAAGGTACATTTTACGGTAATAAAGATGACAGAAAACGATTTTTATTCTACTAAGAAGTAAGAAAGAAATATAACCAATCGCAAACTTGATACACAAAAATCAAAAGTCCCATGGTTAAGGATTCAATGGTTGCAATACAAGAAAACAAATCCATTTACAATTTACTACAAATACACCAATAATGCAGATGTTTTCTTTTACTCACTAGACGTCAAAAAGAGGACATCCAGGGAAATACGCCAGCTAGATTATCTTTATCCCGATTGACGTCTAATAACCGAAGCAAAAAAAGATCTTTTGGAATTACTTTCACTTATACCTCCAACACATCATGGATTTTACACAAAGAACAATAAGATCCACTATACAGCAAGAAGAACGATGCATTAACGATGAAGATTAAGTATTTTTGTTACTTTGTTTTTTAATACAGCATATTTTCAACATTGATATTGTTTAATTATATTGTAGGGTAGACCTAGGAGAGTTGTGACAGAGGTGAGTTGTGACAAGGACGATTTCTGCCCAACTATTATAGTGAGCGAATTGGCAACAACGCTTGTTCGTCAGTCTCCAGACACGCTACTCGGTTTAATACCAGCAGGCGGCGAAGTGCAGTTGTGTAATTTTGACGTCTGTGCCCAAAAACATACGAAAAGTAAGTTTTTTTCAAAATTTTATTTAAATTTATATAATAGTCTAGTATTTGTGCATTGTTGTGTTATTTTTTCTTAAGTTGTATGGTTATTCAAGTTTCAAAACGTTGTAATGATCCTTTGAATATGCATCGTGTTCGGAAAATATGAATTATTATTCGGACCAAGTCGTTATTTTATACACCTAGGTGAGTTGTGACAGTCTGTCACAACTCTCCTATCTTTCTCCATTTTTCTGCTGTACTATTTCCACAATGTTTTTGTATTAATTTTAAATATTTATCTGTGTTAGTAGGCACATGTGAATAATAGCATATTAGTGGCACACACAGGGGGGGTTTTGGGGGTTAAAATCCCTCCTACTGCATATAAAAATATATAAAGAATAGTGGGAAAATGTAACTTGTCTTTCAAAAACAATACAACAAAAATTCTGTGCCCAAGCAAAACCCCCTCCAGAGCAAGACTACGTGTGTCACTGTAGTATACTGCATACTAAATGGCTATTTTTTGTTTCAGAATGCCTAATAAATATACAAGAAATACTGATAGAGGTACTGCTAGTGTGGAAATCTACGACGTGGCCTTTGAAGATGTTAGGTGAAGAGGTAAAAGTTTAAGAGATGCTGCGGCCTCTTACAATCTAAACTACATGTCTTTGTCAAGATACATTAAGAAGAAAGAGGTTTACCACGCAAACCCAGAAGGCCAAGCTCCGTCCATGGGTTATACCGTTCCAACCATTTTTACAAAAGAAGAAGAGAATATATTAAGCGAATATTTGCTAACATGTGCAGGATATACTTATGGGCTGACAACTAAAGAAACTAGAGTCATTGCGTATAAGTTAGCCAAAAAATATAATAAAAAAATTCCAGAGTCATGGGAGAAAAATGAAAAAGCAGGAGAAGTGTGGCTCAAGCTGTTTATGCAACGACATCCCAATTTAACTTTACGACTGCCTCAAGCCACTAGCATTGCTCGTGCTACCAGTTTTAATAAAATTAATGTGGCTGCTTTTTTTGATAATTACACAGGTGTCTTAAACAAACATAAACTTGAGGCAAAAGATATTTGGAATGTCGATGAGACAGGAATCACTACCGTGCAAAAGCCTGATAGGATAATAGCACGACGCGGTGAAAAACAAGTCAGTGCGATGACATCGGCAGAAAGGGGAACCATGGTAACGTTGGCTTTAGCTGGAAACGCAATAGGTAATTATATACCACCTATGTTCATATTTCCACGTAAACGATTCCAAGACCATTTTATTCGGGACGGCCCAACTGGTTCAGTCGGAACAGCTAATGGATCAGGCTGGATGCAAGAGGATGATTTTCATGTTTTTCTTGAGCATTTTAAAAATCATGTTAGACCATCAAAAGAGGAAAGAGTTCTGTTGCTTCTTGATAATCATTCCTCGCATACAGCTCTAAAGAACATTGAATTCTGCAGAGAACATGGCATAATTTTGCTAACATTTTCACCACATTGTACGCACAAGCTACAGCCGCTGGATCGTACTATTTTTGGGCCTTTAAAAAAGCAATCAATACAGCTTGCGACAATTGGATGCGAAGCAATGCCGGGAAAGTCATGACAATTGATATTCCGTCTATAGCAAAGTTTTCATTTGATGTAGCAATCACTGCAAAGAATATGAGCGCTGGTTTTGCTGCAACTGGAACGTGGCCAGTTAACACAGACATATTTGGAGAAGCTGATTTCTTTCCAAGTCAAGTCACTGATCGTCCCAATCCAGAAGTAGAGCAAACCGTTTCAGAAGTTGTGGACAATCCAGCAGAAAGGACCATAACTCCAAATCTTAACACTGGTGCAAATGACAATGATGAAGCACGAGCCATTACTCCAAGTACGTCTGCAGATCAGATCATGCCATCAAGCCATTTATCAGTTGTGAACAATAATGCCAATGAACTTGTTGCCTCCACGTCTGCAGCCCATACCACAGTTCTGAACAATAATGCCATTGAACCAATTGCATCTACATCTACAGCCCCTAGTCCACTTACCACTGTTTCTAATGTCTTCTCGCCAGAATCAGTTAGGCCATTGCCAAAAGCTCCACCAAGAAAAAAGAGCAGACCAAACCGACGTAAAATCAAATCTGCTGTCCTGACTGACACTTCCACAAAGAACGAACTAGCCGCTATAGAGGCTAATAGGAAAACTAAGAACGTTAAGAAGCGTGTATTTAGCGAAGGAGAGAATAAACCTAAAAAAACCAAGAAGACTCTTAAAAAGAAGAGAACAAGTATCGATGAAGAAACCGAAAATGATTATGAATATGCAGACAGCAGATCGAAAGAGAAATGGGTTCAATGCCTAGACTGTAAAGGCTAGGCACACGTAGATTGTACTGGAGACGAACTGCATTACGTTTGCCATAATTGTGAATCAGATTAAATTTTTTAGACTGATTGTATATAATAATAAAGTGATTTCTCTCTAACACCTATTTTTAATATCTTAACAGATTCAATACAATGCTGTCACAACCCACCCCTGTACCTGTCACAACTTACCTCGGTGGTAGGAGAGTTGTAACAACGGGAGCGGTCTTTGATTTGGTTGATTTTCTCAGAAAACATTACAATTTAAAAAATTTTGGTAATTATTTTGAAAACGGAAAGAATAGCACAAAATTATTTCATATCAATCATACCTGTGGAATGTTTCTTGACCGAGATATGGCCCATAAGGTAAAATTTGTCACAACTCTCCTAGGTCTCCCCTACTTTAGGTCTAATCCACATTCCTATTAAAATTTTTAAAGCCACACTAATGCAAAAGCGGTCTAATCCACAAAAAAAGCTTAAATGTTTATATTTTTGTTAAATATACTACAAGATCTTCGAGTTTTTTGTTATTAGTTAATGATTTATGGACAATGACTACCTTTTGGCATCATATTTTAATTTTATAAAATTTCAAAAAAACGCATATATTCTTGGTTCATGTAAATCCATTATTCAATATTTGGGGTTAGCCCACTCTTGCTCTCATAGCCTCAATTTAGAATCTTCTTTCAAGATATTTTTGGGTTTAAGAAAAGTATAAACCTGTGCTTAATTTTGTTCATCCATTTTTTTTACCATTAACGTAATAAATGAAATAAATTTAAATTGAGATTTATTCATTTTTACAATTATTTCGATAAGTCTTATTAGCCAATAATAACCACAAAAATTGAATCAAATATTAAAGCAGTAGCTAAATAGTGAAATGGCATAATAAAATTGCAATTTATTTTCCTTTTTGCAGTTAGTAGGTACATATTAATTAAATATTAAACATCAAAATAAACAAAATGCAAAATGTTTTTGCGGCTCTTCCAAAATTAATAAAAACCCATGCTAACAGAGTAGGTAGTAAAAATAAAAACGGATATGAAGGAAATTGATTTAAAAATACATAATACAAAAGCATTATTTTTCTTAGTGTGTATAAAATCGTCTGAAAAGATGATTATATAAATATACATGTATTGTCCGATCACGTGAATGGCTTTTTTACGTGTTTATCTATAAATAAAAATGTTGAGGTTTGTGTTTACTGGGTATTAAAGATATTGCAATTATTTTCAGAATTTCTTACACAACATCTGGCATTTATGCTAACTAGCCAAAACCACTAAATTCACAACCTGTTTTCAGTGTAATTACAAATTCTAAGAGTGCTAAAATCATTGTTGAACGACAGAAAGATACTTAAAAACAAAGATTAATAGGTGATAGCACAGATTACCAGCAGAATATTTTTGGCAATTTTTGTTATAAATAAGAAGAGATTAAAAATTATTCAATTTTAGAAAGTGTTCTTAATGTTTTTGGCAAATGTAAAAACATATTTGTAAAACAAGTAAAAAACAGCTTACCTAAATGTTTACCAAAATGATTGTTTATATTGTGTATTTACTTTAAAAAATAATACTCAGGATATTATTTACTTGTGTTTTAAACAAATAGATTCATTCATCTGTTACATTTGCAGCCTATTCACTTGTCACATTATTTATTTATATAACACCTGTTGCGATGCAAGGTCACTTTATCCATCCGCAAGAAATAATCTTTACAGTTTTCACTTTACAGTTTTTGCACTATATCAAATTTTTGTTTGAAATCCATAGCTTCTTTTTTGGGATCAAATTTTTTCTTAGCCGCTAACTTCGCCCGTAGTTCAGCAGCGGTCATGCTAAGGTTCAACTGGCCATTTTCTTCCTTCTTCTCGTGTTTTTCATTATTAACTTCTGTAGGTATGATACCATCTTCTTGAGGATCTACTACTAAAAGTTTGGTCTCACCTGTTTGAGTTTTTATTAATTCTACAACTTGTTTATGAGTTTTATTAGCGATACTTTCCCCATTGACTTCCAAGATTCTATCGCCTTGTTTTAAGCCCGCTGCTTCTGCGGGTGAACCCTCGTCCACTTTGCCGATATATTGGCCAGGTTTGCCTTTTTCTGCGTGTAAATTAAAACCGTACCCATCGAAATTATCCCACTTCTGGATGTGGCATAGGCGCGATTTCTGGTTCGACATCACTGTATTTACTACTAAAACTAATTTTTAATACTAGTAAGAGACAATCAATTTGTGTACATCACGAAACTCACCGAGCGAACAGGTAAACTAGAGACAGTGTCGATTCGTCTGTGTGCTTGTGCTTCACTCTTCCAGCGGTCGACACGACAGCATAGTGGAGGTGGTGGAAGTTTAGGTAGGGTGACTAGCTAGTGATCTGGTTCTACTTGATCGTTGTACAACGACAACCACAAACTGACCAGACTGTATTTCTTGCGGTACCCTCTTCGCCGTTGTTTAATAATTTTGTTTGCAAACTTTTAAAATTGTTTAAAAAATTTTTATCGGCATTCTGTGTGTGATTTTAATTTCTTTTCTATTTTTATCTGCATTTGTTTTCGAAACCGAAGAATATTCGAAATCAAAAAAGTTTTATGTTTTAAATATTCATTATTATAATTGAATCGGTGAGTTAAAGGACAGTACATCTCCAAAACTGTCATTATAATTTTAAGAAAATTAAAAACACCGTTCAAACAATTCTAGCGGATTTTTGATATTTTCATACCTTGTGAAGTTGTAGCTTTTGTGCTTCTTTGTTAAAAAGCCAAATAAAATTGATTAAAACCAATAGCCCAGGGAAATAAGCATTTATTCATGACACTCGTCCGGCCAGGCAAACGACAGTTGTTTTGGGTAGTACGGACCTCTGTAACAAAAACCTATATGTTTCCTGCAGTCGATTTTTTGGACTTAATTAGTTATTAACAAATTAAGGTCAACAAACGGAAAATTTTTGCTTTTTTCGTCTATCAGCAAAAAGTAAAGCAATTTAAACAAATTTTAGAAGAGATGAAACTTATAAGTTATATAAAAACCTTCAAAATGGCGTTTTCTAAATGTTTCTATCCTTATTTGTTGCTTAGAAAGTTGCAAAATAAGTCAAAAATTTCTGTTTTTTATAAATGTTAATAACTTTTTTGAAAATAAACTTATAACATTTATATTTCATGGAATGATGTGTCTTGCAGTGCTTAAAATAGGGTTAAAATTTCATAGTGATCGGTCCAATAGTTTAAAAGTTATTTTATTTGTTTATCGCAAATTAACATTTTTTGCAACAATATAAGTCAGAAATTTATACAGTTTTATTAATTCAAGGGGTAGTTTCATGTAGAAGAAGGCTCGTTTTATTATTTACATTAAAAAAAATTGGGAAAATTAATTTTAAATATTGCAAAACAATTTTGCAAAAACATGTCGATTTTTTGCATATAAACAATTAGAATAACTTTTTAACCATTAAATGTAAAAATATTATGTTTATATATTTAAAAAGCCTCAATTTTTTCACAAATTTAAATAAAAAAAAGTTTGTCCTAAAATAATTTGGTATAAAGTTAGCCTCTTTTTTTATTTAATTCATAGCACATTTGTTTATAACACTTAAGAAATCTAATTAGCGCAATTTGAAAGAATGTACTTTATAGTTTTAGAGTACTAAATTTTAAAAATATTGCCCTTTAATGGAATCGTCCACAAAGCTTCAAAATGTATGTAAAATCGGTCGGCTTTGAAACTCTCGGGAGCTGAAGGGAGGGGGAAGGCGCTGTTAACTGTATCTCTGTTCCTTTTTTATGCACTTCAACGTTTCTTTTTGAACTTTTATGTACTTTTTGCGTACATTATGAATATGCATTATTTCAATAAATAAATTGTCAAATAAACCACCTAATTTGTTTAAAAACAATTTAAAATTTTTTTTTAATAGTATTTAAGTTAAGTTTGAATGTAAAACAGAAGTATCTGTCATTTCCTATATTTTGGGGACTAAGCCAGAATTTAAGTTTATAATAAGTTTATTTTTGATGTTTCGATTTCTACTTCGGAAATCTTTCTCAGAATGCAGAACATTAATAAATTAATCAAATTTTGTTTTTGGTTACTTGGTAGAAATTTTTTCTGATAACTCTTTTGGATAATTGATTAGTGTGAGGAAGCTCAGTAGATCTGTTATAGTAAAAATTACAAAAAAAAAGTTATTGACAAAAATTGTAGGCAGCTTTAAACTCCTCATTTTAAAATTAGTTGCAATCTTACAGGGTGTTCTATAAGATTGTGGCAGACCAAACTTATGTTTTTTTAAATTAAACACCCTGTATTTTATTTTAAATTTGAAATCTGCTTCACTTCCACATCACAATAATGTAAAGTTTTATTATGTTATACCGGGTATTTAAAAAGTTATAACCAATATTACTTGAAAATCGTATCAAGTTTAACTCCCTGTATCATTAAAATTTAGTATAGGACCATTGATCTATTGCAACCATAGTTTTTTAATAACTGTTAAAAATTATAAAACATATTCGTTTTAATAATATTCGTTAAATCAAATACAGGGTAAGTCAAAATGCAAGTACATTATTTTCTTGATAATTTTAAATAGAACACCCTGAATTTTAAGTCACTATCGAAAAGTACTAATATCGTACTTCATATTTTATGGAACTTTTTAAATACTTGGTATAACATAATAAAACTTTACATTGTTGTGATGTGGAAGTGAAGCAGATTTCAAATTTAAAATAAAATACAGGGTGTTTCATTTAAAAAACATAAGTTTGGTCTGCCACAATCCTATAGAACACCCTGTAAGATTGTAACTAATTTTAAAATGTCGAGTTTAAAGCTGTCTACAATTTTTGTCAATAACTTTTTTTTTGTAATTTTTACTAAAACAGATCTACTGAGCTTCCTCACCCTAATCAATCACCCAGAAGAATTATCAGAAAAATTTTCCAACCAAATTTTCTACCAAGTAACCAAAAACAAAATTTGATTAATTTATTAATGTTCTGCATTCTGAGAAAGATTTCCGAAGTAGAAATCGAAACGTCAAAAATAAACTTATTATAAACTTAAATTCTGGCTTAGTCCCCATAATATAGGAAATGACAGATACTTCTGTTTTACATTCAAACTTAACTTAAATACTATTAAAAAAAATTTTTAAATTGTTTTTAAACAAATTAGGTGGTTTATTTAACAATTTATTTATTGAAATAATGCATATTCGTAATTTACGCAAAAAGTACATACAAGTTCAAAAAAAAACGTTGAAATACATAAAAAAGGAATAGAAATACAGTAATAGCGCCTTCCCCCTTCCTTCAGCTCCCGAGAGTTTCAAAGCCGACCGATTTTACATACATTTTGAAGCTTTGTGGAGAATTCCATTAAAGGGCAATAATTTTAAAATTTAGTACTTTAAAACTATAATGTACATTATTTCAAATAGCGCTAATTAGATTTCTTAATTGTTATAAACAAAGGTGCTATGAATTAAATAAAAAAAGAGGCTAACTTTGTACTAAATTATTTTAGGACTAACTTTTTTTATTCAAATTTGTGAAAAAATTCAGGCTTTTTAAATATATAAAAATAATATTTTTATAGTTAATGGTTAAAAAGTTATTCTAATTGTTTATAAGCAAAAAATCGACATGTTTTTGCAAAATTATTTTGCAATATTTAAAATTAATTTTCCTAATTTTTTTTTAATGTAAATAATAAAACAAGTCTTCTTCTACCAGAAACTACCCCTTGAATTACTAAAACTGTATAAATTTCTGACTTATATTGTTGCAAAAAATGTTAATTTGGGATTAACAAATAAAATAACTTTTAAACTATTGGACCGAGCACTTTGAAATTTTAACCCTATTTTAAGCACTACAAGACACATAATTCCCTGAAATATAAATATTATAAGTTTATTTTCAAACAAGTTATTAACATTTATAAAAAACCGAAATTTTTGACTTATTTTGCAACTTTGTTAGCAACAAATAAGGATAGAAACGTTTTGAGAACGCCATTGTAAAGGTATTTATATAACTTATAAGTTTCCTCTCTTCTAAAATTTGTTTAAATTGCTTCACTTTTTGCTGATAGACGAAAAAAGCAAAAATTTTCCGTTTTTTGACCTTAATATGTTAATAACTAATTAAGTCCAAAAAATCGACTGCAGGAAACATATAGGTTTTTGTTACAGAGGTCCATACTACTCAAAACAACTGTCGTTTGCCTGGCCGGAAGAGTGTCAAAAACAGGGTTCTTTTTTTGCTTATTTCCCTGGCCTACAAGTCCAGAAAAAAGGTATTTGCACAAATTGCTGCCTAAGAATTACGTTGTATGATACAAAATGTAGAAACTGAGAAAAATGACTTTGAATATTTTGACAATTAGATTTGATATACAAGAAAGTAAATTTGCTTTTGTTTTAATCATAATAGATAAAAGTCTACTACAAAAGAACGTTTACAAAAAGAAATAAAAATATTTAATTTTTTCCATATTTTTATTGAAAAAATAAAATAACATATAACTTCGTGACTCTAATAAAAAACGAAAAATGCAAAAACATGAAACATAAGTCTTTGTAACATTACACTAGTCAACAAATTAAAAAAAAAGTTGCGACTTTTTGTATTTTTTGTAATCATCATAGCTATTCTAATCTTAGATGCTGCCGCTCTGAAGAGTTCGATTGATGTGCATCCGTACCATTCCCTCAAGTTGCGCATCCATGAGATTTATCTCCTTCCTATACTTCTCTTGCCCTGGATTTTTCCCTGTATAATTAATTGAAGTATGTTGTATCTTTCATTACGTATAACATGCCCCAGGTATTGCAGCTTTCGTGTCTTCATGTTTCCAATATTTACACTCTTTTGTTGACTCTTCTCATGATTTCGTTGTTTGTTACGTGCTCAGGCCATGATATCTTCAGGATTCTTTTATACACCCACAGTCCAAATGCTTCCAACTTTTTAGTAGTCGACCCGTTAAGTATCCATGCTTCTATTCCGTAAAGCAGAGTCGAGAAAATATAACACCTTACCAGCCTTACTCTCAAGTTTAATTTCAGTTCTCTTGCACAAAGTACCTCTCTCATTTTATTGACGTTTTTTCGTGCTTTCTGTATTCGAACTTTGATTTCTTTGGAACGATTATTATGCCAAGATAATTGAAGACACGAGTGGATGAAGGTGCTATGTTACAAAATTTAGATTTTGAGAA